ACACCTGGGTAATATAACACCCCTACTCTTTCCGAGAAACACCCTGGCATTTTTAATGACCACAGAGAGTCGGGACCTCCGTATTACATCTCATCAGAAGGACAGTGTCACCATACTGGGACCTTAGGACCCACATTGACCGCAGTTTGAGCGCTCCCTGCTGGCCCCACTAATACCTCTTCCAGCACCAACCTTAGCTTTCCCAGGAGGTCTCCCATCCAGGTACTGACCAGGCTCACACCTGCTGAGCTTCAGGGTGATAGGGCTCCTGCAGTACTTGTTGTCTCAATAAATTAAAGCATGAACAGATTCTCAGTATTCAGTGAAATAATATCGGAAATAATTCTGTGTTTTATTAACTGCCCGATGTCTGTGTCTGTTCTCAGCCAGCTAGCCTGGGTCTGCCGCGAGCGCGCCACCTGACGTGTTGAGGGTGTCGGCGTCGCCGATGGGCTGCTGGGGCGCGGGGCTGGGGTACAGCAGGAAGGCCGTGACGATGAACTCGTTGGCGCTGTGCCGGAGGGTGCAGGTGAACCAGGCGCTGTCCGGCCCGGCCGTGCCCTTCCAGGGCACCTGGATGCCTCCGGTGGAGTACCTGCGGATCTCGCACTGCAGCTGCTCTGTCCCGCCAGGCACGTGCCGGGTCACGTCCACCGCCGAGCCTGCGGGACCGCCAGGAGGGACAGACACCGCCGTCAGGGAAAACTGCACCCGCTGCACGGCGCTTCGATCCCGCGCAGGTGGCACGAGCAGCACGGAGCGTTTAGAGGTGAACGGGCAAGGTGAGCACATTAGTACAAGTTTCAATTATCACAGCTCCTGGTTAGGGCTCTGAAGCCAGCCAGCGAGAAGTGTCCTGCAGGTGTTGCTGTCTCCTGCTCGGCTCGGCTCACGCTTAGCCCTGTTGCGGGCGGAGCGGTGGCTCTGTGGCCAAGGATCTGTGGCTGGAAGGTTGCCGGTTCGAATCTTGCGGCCGGCAGAGGAATCCTACTCCGTTTGGCCCCTTAGCAAGGTCTCTACCCCCAACTGCTCCAGGGGCGCTGTATAAATGGCTGATCCTGCGCTCTGACCCCCAGCTTCTCTCTCCCTGTCTGTGTGTCTCATGGAGAGCAAGCTGGGGTATGCGAAAAGACAAATTCCTAATACAAGAAATTGTATAGGGCTAATAAAGTGAGCTTACTTTAAAAGCCTTTCGAGCTCTCAGAGGTACAACCATACCACCCCAACAGAGCTGGACACTCCAGTCACACTCCAGAGCTGGAGAATAGAGTCACGATTATCTGACCTAAACGGCTATCTGACCAATAGCACGTCGGATGCCGCGGAAACGGAGTAAACAAATCATGGATTAATGAAAGCGCAGTATAATAATGAAATCTGGTTTATTGATCTACTGTCATACTAAAATAACAGATTACCGAACTATTGTTAGTTATTATTAAAAAAACAACAAGTGTGCTTCACTTCCTTGTGGCAGGGTCTTAGTAACATGCCATCAGCAGCATGGCCTCTTGTGGTTCAACAAAAGCTAGTTGTCACGGATGGCGGAAGGGCAAGGTGAGCAGTGGAGACCCTATGCATAGCGGTAACATTGGGGCAACACGGGGGTTAGCCCAGGCTCAGGGGGTGGGTCGATGTCGGGGTAGAAACCAATGCCCTCAGGCCACGGACGGGGGGGGAGGGTGACCTGGATACGAGGCAGGTCTCACGACATCTGGGCCGATGAAACTGAGCGAGGAGCGGAGCAGATGCAGGAAGGAAATAAGCAACAGAACAAAACACACCAGAAAGACATGAAGAATCCCGGGGAACTAGGAACAGGACAGAAGTGGAGCACCCTCTAGGTGTACAGGGCGGCGCGACACTAGTGCCGCTTTGAAAAGACAGTAGGAAAAATAATCACGAGTGTGAAATTGGCAAGCGAAGCTACGTCAAAGGCAGTACGTGACGCACGGAGAGACAGAGCAGCATCGGACTGGGCACAATATTATGCACGAGCACACATATACTGTACACTATGGTGACTGGCTATGTCAGAGAAGCGAAGGTCAGATAGTCGCGACTCTACTGTAATGCCTGACCTGGCCTGTCTGCCTGTCCTACCGTCCTGCACCTGTGACCCCACCTGTGGCCAGGAAGGTGACGACGCCGGCCCGCTGGGCCTCCTGCAGCCTCTGGGCCGTGTCCGCCTCCCGGCCCGGCCGGGCCAGCAGCAGCGCGGCCTTCCTGTTGACGAACTGCGTCTCAGGGGCCCCACTCAGCCCGCTGGACACCCTCTCCTCCACCAGCTCGCAGGCCAGCAGCCCGGCCTCGGCCAGCGACTCGGACCGGACACAGCGCAGGCCTGTGAGCGAGGGAGGGAGAGACAGCGACCATGAGCGCACGGAGAGGAGAGGAGTTCCGTCGGCATGCGCACACACACAGAGTGAGTGTGTGTGTGTCAGTGAGTGTGAGCGTGAGTCTGTTAGAGTGAGTTTGTGTGTGTGTGTGAGTGTGTGTGAGCATGAGTGTGTTAGAGTGAGTTTGTGTGTGTGTGAGTGAGTGTGTGAGAGTGAGTGTGACTGACTGTGTGTGTGAGAGTGAGTGTGTGTGAGTGTGTGACTGAGTGTGTGTGTGAGAGTGAGTGTGACTAAGTGTGTGTGTGTGTTAGAGTGAGTTTGTGTGTGTGTGTGAGTGTGTGTGTGAGAGTGTGACTGAGCATGTGTGAGTGAGAGTGAGTGAGTTTGTGTGTGTGTTAGAGTGAGTGAGTTTGTGTGTGTGTGACTGAGTGTGTGTGTGTGAGAGTGAGTGTGTGTGAGCATGAGTGTGTTTGAGTGAGTTTGTGAGTGTGAGTGAGCGTGAGTTTGTGTGAGTGTGTGAGTGAGCGTGAGTTTGTGTGAGTGTGAGTGAGCGTGAGTTTGTGTGTGTGTGAGTGTGTGTATGTGTGTGAGTGAGTGTGTGTGTGAGTGAGTGTGTGCACGCAGATCGCCAGAGACAGCAGCTCACAGGAGAAGCGAGACGGGTCCCTGTAGACGAATCCACAGCTCATTGGCAGGATTCACGGATGATAACTACTGCAACACACGCAGAGGAACAGCGTGTGATTTTATTTTCTGAGGTCGACCTCTGACTCCTGGCGGGGACTCTTCCGCAGAGCTCGGAGTAACCACGGTCGGGTTTCGCTGCAGCAGTGCACAACGCTAGCTTCGGAATTATGCGGAATTAGATTTCCACAAAACGCAAGGTATACAGTACCTGCCGTGTACGTTTTAAGTAAAGGAAGTTCAAGTTCACATTTATTTATCATTCCAGCCATATACAAGTATACAGTGGAACGAAATATCGTTCTTCCTGGTCCACGGTGCAAATACAGGCAGGACACTGACAGTGGACACCCACTGGAATGAAGTCAAATCGGGCACGAGTCCAGATTCCTTCTCATATCAAGCAGGATTCTGATCGGTGAAATCCGGCAGTGTCTGAAAGCGCGGACCAATCAACAAACCGCAGTCCTGCAGAGTCTCAGCTGTTGGCAGGCGAAGCGGGGGACAGCCGTATTTCATCTTTCAAAACTCGCCCGTCCAGAGCTTTTATTTACAGCTTTCCTCGTTCCTGCATCTGTGCATAAGCACCAGGGCGCCTACAGATCCTACTGCGCACACTGCGCACAGACGCCTCGCAGCCGCGGTCGCCCGAGGGAGGGCAGCCGGGTTTAACGGGTGTCGAAACGGATGTCAAGCTGCGGCGCTAAAGCGTTCAGGGCCCCGCGGGAGCCGGTGATCTGGAGGAACAGACAGGTGTCGTGTCCCAGGAGATACTGGGATACGACGTGTGTTCCCTCTACGCTGTGTGCGTGTGTGCGTGCGCACACAGGTTATGAAATCGTCGCACATAGGAAATTGAACTGCGCACAAAAAATGTAATGAAAAAAATGATGATAATAAAACAAACACGGTCATCAATTGAAAAATGCTAAATTGAACACAATAGACTGGCTGCGAGAGGCCCAACTTGGCTGTTTGCATTATTATTGCTACTCGATAATCGATATTTGTGCTCGTCTCGTACCTCACCGCTCATGCTGGCTCCACACTCAAGTCTCTATGACTGGGTTCGATAAATCGCTGCCCCGGTCTTTAAGATCTCTATGCTTTTATGAGAACGACTATATTAACGAAAAATAATTTCAGCTTTACAGTTTTACATGCACTCAATTTAGTGCGCACAGGTTTTGGCACTGGGGGAAAAAAATTGCACAACTTGAAATTTGTGCGCAAACGGGCCATTAAAACTTAGAGGGACCATTGGATACGACACCGGGAAGAGCCGAAAAGGGACCGACCGGCCCTGTTCGTTACGGACCGCCTCCTTCCTGGTTTCAGGTGCGGGAGGAGAAAAACGTACGTGCGTGTAAAAAGATCAAATCGATGTGGGGAATATCAATACTTTTCAGACAATATTTTCAAACACGCTGTCACAGAAACGACGGTAATGGGGTTCGGAGCAGGAAGGCGAGTGTTTGGGGGGGGGGTCCAATATTGGGGAGACCGCTCGGTCCGTTTCCGCGTCGTACAGGTGTGGAGACACTCACCCGAGCAGATCAGGACACACAGGAGCACCGCCGTCGTTATCATAGTGGCGCCTTACAGACGTTTTCACGAACGACCGACTTGCCGCAGCGCCTTTCTGCAGCCTCCATTAGGCGGGGAGCCCGAGTTCACTTTCTCTTTCATTTCTCAAGCGCAGCAGACGCGAGAGGCGTGTTTGAAACACGAAACCAGCCAGCGTTAGAAAAACCACGGGGACTTCCAGGGTGGCACAACCCAGTGGGCCTGTGGCCACCCCGTGTCTGACCGCCGAGAACACGGGCCAGTGGCGTGGTGGTCAGTCTGAATTTACTGGGGAAGAAAGAACACCTTAAGTAGATAAGAGAAGACTTACAACTTAAATAGAATTAAAAAAAAACCTGTAACAAGTAAAGGTTTATTCCATACTGAAGAGAGAAGAAAAGAAACACAATGTTTCGGCTGTAGAACCTTCTTCGGGTGTGATATCTGAAAGGTTTCTTTCAGGTTTTCTTCTCTTTGCAACAGTAAATAAACCTTTACTTGTTCCTTTGCAGCCTACGCAGCATACTGACGCGGCTCCCTACTTATTAAGGAATAATATTTGTTTATGTGTTAACCTTTAGTATTTCTTTAACATCTAGATTTGGGCTTGTCTATGTGTTGTAAGGGGTTTTACTTTATTCTATTTCGTTGTTAACTTCCAAGAACAAGAGAAACCGAGCGGCCGGGACCGTGGAACTCCTCGGAGCGGTCAAGCCGCCGTGCTCCCAGCAGAGGGCGCTGTGAGAAACCGCGCACGGCGAGAGTGAGACTCCAGGGTCCTCCAGCAGACCTGGTGAAACTCGTTGGTGTTGTGGCGGAGGAAGTACGAGTCTGCCGCGCGTGTGCGTGGGGGGCAGGTTAGTCTCGAGTGGAGAGTTGCGCGAAGTTTTATATAACCCCGACGGTGGTGGAATTCGGTGCATCAAGGTATCTTTTGTAAGTGAGCGTGTGTGTTTTTCATGCGGCACCTATGTAGTGGTAAACTAAATAATTAAAGTGAAAGCATTAGGTTTAGATTTAGACCTTCGTAGATCATTTGCAATCTGCCTTAAATTTAGATTTAGTTTCTAACCCTCGATTGGTTTTAACCGAAAAAAAAATCAAATGTACGTTATTTCGGTATAACGTGTTTTCCGTGCGTGTTTGTTTATCTTGACTTTGTTAAGCAGATTCAAGCCGATACAATGAAGTCCATTCATTAGCTCTCTTCGGTTTAATCGCACGTCCTACAGCCCAGTTCATGAGCAGGCGGCAACCAACTAGAAAGAGCCAGGAATTCACTCAGCATTCGTTCTGTGAAGATGTTCAAATTTATGAATCGCACACAATTTATCTGATTGCAGTTAAGTTGACTGCTCCTTTGTACTCAAAAGTATTTGTTCAAACAAACTGTGTATTCCTGGTCCTGAAAACATATGAAATGTGTGTTTTTGAAAGTGTTGACTGAAGATACTCTGTCACGTTCTCAGGGTACAATGGGGGACGTGTGAGTGAGGACTGCTTTAATCGGGAACATCTGGACTCTACAATGGAGCCTGGTACAGTCCCTCCTTTCAGATTCTATGGTCATAGCAGAAATACCGTAACTGACATGCTTGTGTTGATAACATCTGCTCTGTAATGGTAAAGTGCATCATGTACAGTGAAGCAGGGCTTGCAGACTATTTGTGCCAACCTGTGTAGGCCAACAGGTAATCAGGTTGTTTCCTCAGATTCATGTGGTATTTTCATGAGGTCTTTTTATCACTTTTCACAAAAGTTCTAGTTATTTGACTTGATTAGAAATAGAGTGAAGATCTAAAACATTGTGTATTGCGGTATTGCAGTTATGTAATTGAGAGCCTAGCTGGGGCTGAGGACACAGGCTCTCCAGGAGCTGAGTCCGAGGCCCAGGTCATAAATCAATGTGGTAGTAAGCCACTGTCTGACCCTGCACGGGGGCCGGTCCCATGTTTTGTCATCAGACATGTATAAAGACAGCTTATTAACACAAACAGAAACTGTGTGTTTAATTGTTAGGAGAGGTAGGTGAGCATGGTGCTGTTAACAGTTCAGAGATCCTGTGTCCAGGGGGACTGGGGAGGATGAGAGTTCGTGATGCCCCAGCAACGTCCTTCTGCTATGGAGAGCTGATTGATAGGGGAGGGGTTTGTCGCCTGCTGTATCGACGCAGAGTATTTGCATCTTGCCTATGAAATATGCTGGTTTCTCTGAACAACATTTTCCCTGATTATTTTAAAGATTTTATATGGTGTCTTTCCAGAAATCAGTAAGTGGGTATTTGTAACTGCTCTAGTTAGAAGAGAAGATGTTAGACCACATCTAAAACTCAGCGTTTTCTTTAAGAGTTGAAATATCCACCTCAAATCACGAGTAGTGTCTTCAGTATATTCTGTATTATGAATATACTATTCAGTGCTTGTCCAGGCCCAAGGGTGGCAGGTATCCATTCAGGGGTGGAAAACCGGTTCTCCATGTTGGGATAACTTGACTAATATGCCTCTGTCACTGTTTTTGGATGTGGTGTTTCCACACTGGAGTGCTGCTTCCTTGCTGGACCATGCTAAGTTCTCTCTCTGTCTGTGGTAGTGGAGAATAAGCAGTAGCTGTATTAGGAAAGTGCTCTAGCTGAAGTTTTAAACTCACAGTCTGTTGAGTACGTAGAAAAGTAGATTTAAGGTCTAGAAGTTCAACATGTAAAGATTTACGCTTGAAATGTTAATGTTTATTCACTAACTAGTAAATCTGTTTTTGAAGAATGTGTGTGGGAGGTTTTTGTTGACTTTAACACTTGGATTAACTGCCTTTAAAATTGAACCCACAGGAATGTGGATCAGCTGTGAGAAGACAGCTGTTCTCCACGGAGGCTTTCTTCTGGCTGAGAAGCTGTACCGTCCCAAGGAGCTGGCCGCCTTGAATAAGTCCGAGTGGCACAGTGTGGGGAAGCCCATCGTTCAGGCGGTACAGGAGATTCTCTCTGACAGCAGCCTGAGCACTCGAAATGTCTTACACTGGGAGAAGAAGATTATTTGTATTCTGTGGACCAGACTGCTTGACACGGAAAACAGTAAGAGGGAGGAACGGGACAGCGGAGAGAATACTGACAGAAAGTGGAAGGAGGATCCAACTTTCTCTGTGCAAAACCTCCTCCCCAGTATAAGTCCCACGGTGCTGTTTGAGCTGGTCAAGTCCATGGGCTGTGCGAGGGTCTTTGCGCAGTTCCTCTCGGCGTTCCCTGGGGGAGCCCTGTGCGGACAGCTGGCCGGACTTGTGGAGCACGTTCTCATCGAGACCTCGGAGGAGGATGTCCAGTTCCTCCTGGAGATTTGGTGGGAGCTGTGGAAAAGCCCCGAGGAGAAGCCGGAGGACGGGATTGTCCAGGCCTTTGCTGCTCAGGCTGCCAGCTACCTGTCCCAGCTGCCCGCCCCGTCGGCCAAGAGGTTCAAGCCTGACCCTGACGTGGCTCGCCAGTCGTGCGTGGTCTCCCTCCTGCTTGACGCCTTACGCAAAACAGCAGAGTGTTTCTCCACCTCTGACCTTTGCTGTCTCGCCCTCTCCAATTGCTTGGACATGCTGTACACAAGCTTCCTGCTCGACTGCCAGACCAGGCAGCCCGTGGAGGAGCACCTGCAGAGCTTGGCAAGGGCAGTCCAGCTGCGAAGGCTGTGTAGCCACAGGCAGGAGGAGAACCTGGCCGAGGACATCAGGGAGGCACAGCGAGAAGTGGCAGCTGCTCACACACCGTCCCAGTTCAAGCCCACTGAAGTAACACTTCCGCAAGGGTTAAAAGCTCTGTTAGAACTTGTTGAGATTTGGGGCAAGAAAGAACTGCTTACAATCTCAGCAGACAGGCCGCCTAGCCCTGCGGCTTACAGGCTGAAGAGCTGCCTTCCACGTGTGATCAGCTCCTTGGAAGAGCTCCCGTTGTCAGAGGAGGTGGTGACCGAAGGAGAAAGAGGGATTGTGAGCGAACTGAGTCATTCCCTCACATCGGTGCGAGAGGGAATTGCTCTTCCTGAGCTGGAGTGCGGTGGCGCTGAGCTGGCAAGGGTTGCAGCAGCAGTTATTGATAATCGCCTGGGAAGGTTTCAAGAAGTGACGCACGTGTTCGCATCCAGCCTGGTCTTCAATGTTAATGAGTGGACTGAGTGCTTGGAGAGGAACAAACCTGCCTTTAGAAATGAAGAGTTAGTCTTAAAATTGGTTTCAACACTTACTGCAAACACGGCTACAGGGACCCAAGATGTGTCTCAGCAGAAGAGACTGAAGGGAATTATTCTGGACATTTTCTCTGAGCTTCCTCTGCCTCTTAAGAATTCGTCACTGGCAAGGGCGCTGTCTGCCTTTGGCAGGAAGGGACTGCATGGTGTTCTGCCGAGGACTGTAATGGAGGGCTTCAGCGATGAGGTGAACTTGGCTTTCAACTGCATCACTCAGAGCAAAACACCGCAGAGCCTTGACAGTGCTGTGTCTGCTGTCGCCAGGGTTGCTTTCCAGAATCCAGAAGCGGTCTTGCAAAGGGTGTGTCATCTCGCAGTGGTGAATCTCGGAGCCCACAGGCTCCTGGCTGATATCCTGAAGAACCTGCCGGGACTGATCTACTATGAACCTTCTGGTCTGCAGAGCGACAGTAGTGCTGGTTGCAGTTTGCTCTGCCACTGCCTTAAGGACACAGTGTGGGGCAAACTGTCTTCAGCTAAAGAGGAGGACCAGTTCTTTCATTTCCTTGCCTTCCTCATGCAGCCGAGCAGCCCTGCAGGAGATGAGCCAGAGAGCAGACTCTGTTTTCTTCAGCCTGGGGAGGTCACCAGGACATTCGTCTTGCCCCATCTGATGGACAGCAATTGCAACCTAGAGCTATGTCTGCGAGTGCTCCAGCAGGCTCTCCAGCACAGAGGCCCGCAGGCTTCTGGACACTGGGTAATGTCCTGTCCTCCCTTTCCTCTCCTCTTCTCCCTTTGCCAGCTCTTACACAACTCCTTCAGGTGCTGGCAGGATCCTGTGCCTCATGATGTCAGTGTTTCCTTGGAGGCTAAGGAGCTCTTGACCAACATCCTGGCTGTCATGTGCGATGTAGTAGGCAAAGAGGTGGCAGCTGACCCCAGCACCTGGTCCAGAGCTCTTTACTGGCTCTACAACAAAGTGGAGGCTCTGGATTGGACTGTGCGCTTTCAGCTAAAAGGAGTGTGGAGGGAACACTTCAAAAATGAGGTGCCCTTGTCAATGATGGAAGTGTGCAGTTTGTCAGAAGACAAGTGGGCCGGACTGGATCTGCCCATGTATGGGCTGGGTACTGGGCTTCTGGCCTGGATGGAGTGTTGCTGTCTTTCTGCTGATGTCCAGACCCACATGCTGGAAAACCTCATGGTCGACATGAAAAATGCAGAGGAGGTCAACATGTTTAGCAAGGGCTTCATGGTGGCTCTCATCCAGGTCCTGCCCTGGTGCACGTCCACAGAGTGGGGGAGAGTTATGGAAGTGGCACGGCATCTTCTCCAAACCAGGTGCCTCCATGTGCCATACTCCCTGGAGTACGTCGAGTTCATGCCACTGCTGAACTTGCGGCACTTCTCCGGCGACCTCCAGCTCTCCATGTTGCTGCTGAGAGCCTTCCAGCTGCTGTGCGGCTCCAGCTGCTCGGACTGGCTGCCTCAGAAGGGCTGGCTGCACGTGGGACGGCTGTATGCTGGCACCATGAGGGGCATCCTCGAGTCTGTGACGGGGAAGCTTCTCCCATCGGGCCAGTCCGAGGCGCCAGCCAGCGACTCCTCGCACGGCAGCCAGGAAGTGGTGTTCGTGTTTGTGCAGCTCTTTTGCCACCTGCTGCACGTGGCAGTGATGATGCCCGCGCACACCTACGAGCCCCTCTACCTGGCCGTACTGGAGATCCTTACCCAGTACGAAGCGGTTTTAAAAGAGCACCCTGCGTCCTTTGGCGCGCTCTACAGGGACAACACCAAGCACTTCCTGCACTCCATCGCCCAGAACCTGCCCGACCAGGAGCTGCGCTCCACTGTGCAGCAGAAAATCTCCAGGCTCTGAACACGCTCTTACCTCATTCTGGGTGTTTTAGAGCCCATTAGCTGTTGCAAGAATAAAAAATGCTTACCAAAATAAAGGCTGTTTTCAATAAAGTGGTGTGCTATATTGTTACTGATGTCCAAAAGGCTGCATGCAGATGTGAATATTTGTCAGAAGAGGAAGAGAAATATGGCCAAAGTTGACAAAACTTACATTACTGGTAATCAGGGCCTGTTCTTCCAGATAAACTATGAAATTCTTAAGTATTGATGATTTAACAGACCTTGGAATTCAGTTTAGTGTTGTGCTTTGTCTTGGTCATTGCCTTGTGCTCTGAGACAAAATTGTCTTGTAGATTATGTTAAAAGAATTTTTAGTATTAAGCTTGATTAGGTACCTCAGAGTATTTCTCTTACACTCTTTCTTAAAGTTAGATATTAAAGGGAAACACATTTTATCATGGTATTAACACACAACAGGATTCATCAAATCATCTTTATTTTTCTTGTGTAATGTCTGGATTTCCACATGTGCAGTGCAACAAAATAATTCTTAATATCGCCATGTTCTATCAAGAATTAACTTGCCCTCTAACAAGAAAAATCCTCAGCTGGGCAGATATTACAACCAAGCACAACAATCTGACTCTAAGAAAAGTTATCATGAACAGTGGCAAGAAGTGCACTAGGTTGTGATTCTGTCGTGCAGGGCCTCTCGATCAGCAGTCTGCAGCATGAGAATCGGAGAGCCCTGTGAAGAGTTACCATGGAACACAAACACTGGCACGCACACACCGCAGAAGAGCCGAGACAAATAAACACTCCAAAAAAAAAATTCCAATAGAATTAATAAAAACTGGAATGAAGCAAAAGTCTTCACAGGGGGATATTATGATGCTAAAAGCCCACTTGATGAGAAACAATGGTATAGAATAAATTCCATTACTTCTTATTAAAAATGTTCTCAGGATGATAGCGCGACATGTAGGGTTTAACCCAGGCGTCCCTGGTACTGGACGTATACACCTGCTGGGTTCTGGTCCAGTCCAGTGCTCAATTACACTCCGACAGGAATAATGTAACTGCCTTTTAAAACAACTTCATGTCATAAATTTCAACACAATCCCAACATTCCCAGTAAAACCAAAATTGCAAATATTTCACTCAAGCAACTTTTAGTTCGGTAAGTAAGCTCAACTAGAATGAGACCCTGTAGGAGCAGGACGGGGGACCCCTGGGTTAAAGGACACATGCTGCTGGTAACCACAATTCCACCACAACAGTTTCAGCATGTTCACTGGGTGAAATTGCAGCCAAACATTACTCCCAGCCTTGAGGCATTCAATTACAAATAGCTCTAAAAAGGCACTGTATATGAATTTGGTTTATTGTCCAGAGTTCATATACAATCTGGACAACACAGCAATGCTGTGGTTTAGAGTTCTTTGTTTTAAACCTTTCAGCTCCCAAAAATGCTGTAGTGTGCTTCATTCAGCTGACAAATTCCAGCAAATACAGCCCTCCCGACCACCTGCATTCTGGTTTTCTGTACAGTTAGGCTCCCAGTTTCTTCACCTAAACCCAAATCATAATAAAATAATGATAATGCCAAATAGACACATATTCTTATCATAAGGCAGTTGAGCACAAACTCATTTAAATGTGGACCTGGCCAAAATGCTTATACCCATTTAAAAACTGCACTAACGATACAGTTCAAGGGTCCAGTAGCTTTTGTGTCTTTTTAAATCAAACAGCTGAAGGTTGCACACACAGGTAAACCTTAAGTGAACTAATACAACCCCCAACCAGCCCAGGTGAAGAGTAGTTTATACCTGCCAGACAGAAGAGACCTGTTGGAGCCAGGAGCCCCGAACAGACTTTTTATGGTCAAGTAAAGGTTTATTCCATGCTGAAAAGAAATGCACCCCAAGAAGGCTCCACAGCCAGAGCATTGTGTTTCTTCTCTTTTCAGCATGGAATAAACCTTTAAAGCCTATGCATGCTGACCCAGCTACTTGTAACATTTTTAATTGTCTCCACCTACCAAAATGATAACTTGGAATGTCCGGCCATTTAATCTGGGGCTCCCCCTTGCAAGTCTGGGGACCCCCCCACCTGCTGAACCGTCAGTTACATAATTGACCTCACAGCTGAATCAGTTTGAGCCTGTTACTGTTCAGTTGCCAAACGTGGTGGAGGCTGACTCTTGTATTCTCTGCAACTTGAGAATACAAACTTGCGATGGACCCAACCAAGTAATTGTTAAGTAATTATTAATCATTGTCCGCTTAATGATAAATACTTTAATCAAGTAAAAAGCTCAGTCATAATGCAAATTAGCAAGTGTGGGCAAGTCCCCCTGGCTTAAAAACCTGAAGTGTTAATTAAGGAAATGATAAGACCAACTAAGGGTTCCGTTATTACCTTGTGAAGCAGAAAAGCAGCATCCCAACAAGCAGGAAAATTCAAAGTTCTCCAGTCTTCTTATCTATAGCCCTCAGTTGTTAAAGCATTAGAGAACAGCCAGCTGATGAGTTTAGATCAAATGAGAATCTGATGTGAAAGCTTCTCTCCTTCGATTCTGGAGAAGCAGCCAGTCAGGAATCACTCCCAGCTGGTCTCGGGATCAGTCAGGAATCACTCCCAGCTCTCTCCGGACCAGTCAGGACGGTGGTGGCAGCTCCACACCTCCAGAGTATGTCAGGCTGGTCTTCAAGGCTTTAACAATTAAGGCTTCAAGAGAATAAGAAAACCTGCTGCACCACAGATCTCCTTGGTCGCCTCAACAGCTAGAATTTCAAATGGGCTCCGAAACGGGGCTGTCCTGTCCTCAACCGTCCACCAGGACTCTGGCACTCTAGCCCTGAGGAGCTGCAGTCTATGGTGTCATGCTCAGTGAGCAGACACCTGGAGAGCAGCTGAAAATCTCCAGATAAAGCAAGTGATTGATCTTGTCAAGTCATTCAGCTGTTAGGAGGAAAACTAAAAGACACTGTGGCTCCCCAGGACTGGAGCTGCAGACCCCTGGACTCACCTAAACCCGGATCTTACATCCCAAAACGGGCATCTCCATTCCCCTCAGTTCCCTCTGGATCCAGTGTCTTCTGGTTCTTGTTCCACAAGAACTCAGTTACATAGCTGGTCTAACTCATCAGCTCCATTTCAGAAATGTTTAATCATATGGAGCTTAATCATCTGTATTCAACATTCAGGAAATCCTAGATACAGTATATGAAAATAATTTGGCTCACTGGTTAATTGACTACTCAGGATGGAACAAATCACAAAGACACCAGGCTCTCCAGGAAATGGGTTTGTATACTTTCTCTCTTGCCTGGCAAAATGCAACTGTAATTTGATTTAATATTATTTCCAATTCTACTAAAATGTTTAAAATTACTTCAGATACCTGTATAAAAAAGCATCTGGAGAGCTGGGAGAGGCTGATTAACCATCTGGTTTAGCTCATTAAGAGTGAAACCCTCCAGCATCAGGAGAGGATAGCCCTGCTGGATGAAGACTTAACTACTACGATGCCCCAAATGGCTTCCTCTCACTTGCAGCCTCATGTCCCTGCCTTGTGTAGAGCCCATGTATCACTGCCTCTGCACCAGAATCCTTCTCTAACACATGGGAGTTTTCAGCAGTTCAGTCAGTTAATTTAGTCAGTTTATTCAGTAAAAGGGGAACTGTAGTCACTATTTTTCAGGCCGGTTATTACATCTCTGTGACAAAAATAAAAAAACATTGACCGTCTAGAAAACTTTGACAAATTTCAAATTAAACACAAAATTGTGAACTTCGTAAGAGTTGCCAGGTTGTCGCAAACTTGCATTCAAGTTCCTACAAATTGCAACGTGAAGCGGCCCTTCCTGCTCACTAGTCACTGTCATGACTCATGTGATGCAATGTTCGAGCAAATAAGTACAGGTTGTGCAACAGACATTTCACTGCAGAAATGTCCTACCCATGGTGTGCATGCATAGTTAACACCTAAGTAGTATTTGTCGGGAGCAATATTTCTATTGGATTAAAAGACATATTTACAAGTCTACTTCATTACAGTGTAACAGGGCCGCTTCACCTCACTGGAAGTTTGGTTGCCTCATTCTGAATCGCAGAACATGACGCTGCGCAGACCTGGAAAGTTTTGTTCATTGTGTGATGTGCGATTACACATTACTGTGTACATTTTTTAAGCGTGGTTTGAAATGCACTCATCAACGCAGATTCTATCTACCTCTGAAATGTCTAAATAACGTTGCAGATCCCCTTGAACTCCTGGAGCTCTCAGGGACGTTGAGAAATTCAAGGTGTTGGGATGTCCCCTGCTCACGATCTCTGAACTACTTAGCTGAACTAAGGGCGTCCTCAAAGAGTCACAGTGAATTGCTCCATGGCCCCCCCCCATCTCAAACACACGTGGTTCAGCCCTGTGGCGAAAGCTTCTGGCCAGCAGGGCGGAGGAATGAGAGCTCTGCTCACTGAACGTCCCATCACAGCTGGCAACGCCACTGACCAGCTGGGGAAGAGAGTTATTACTTTTAACTGCTGTAGTGGAAACACTTGTTTGAAAAGCCAAAGCAGAGATAATTCTACACAGGAAATGACTGGGCTATTGCAGGCGTCACTGTCCACCTGTCTTTGGTCTGTCCATTTTTCTCATTTCAGTATCTCAGTCCTAAGCCTCTTTCTTCATTAAAAAATAGTGAATCTGTGCATTGGAAGGCTAAGACAATCGTGACCGTTTCACATTATTAAAGTCAAAAGAATAAGCCATATGCCAACACATTATCATACCCTGAGCTAAGGAAAGATATCTCTGTAAGAGACAAAATATTAGCTTAGAAATAATAATTAAGACTGGTGTAACAGAATTTATCTTTATATCTATAATAATTATAACAACCTATTATAATATGTATATGTTATTGCAATATACAGTTAGCCCCCGAGACCCATGGCCCTGCTGTGTTCACAGGAAAATAGCTGAAGACCTGGAAATTCGGGTAATGAGGACGGTTACATATCAAGTCATTACTGACACTCCAGGACCAGAAGAAAGTCCTACCACCCTTGGATCTTGTAAATACAGAAACCAGAGGTCCTTCAGATTTTTCTAGGATCTATCGGCTGGTATCTGGGCTTCGGAGACCCAAGTAAGTTGTGGCCATGACAGTTCTGGGCAGCAGAACTGAGACCAAAGAACGCTGCGACAGATCTAGAACCTTCCAGAACCAGGCCAAAGCACCAGAAAAAAATCCCTTTCACACCTCGGAGAGATACAAGATTCACAGGATAAAGAACTGTGGAAAAATAACAACAGCAACTGCAAATGCACGCAGGTGGTATTTAAATGTGAAACAGTTTAAATCTTTAGCACCAGGAGAGCTGCTATTGCCAACTGTTGCTGTTAAATGCATTCTTGTCTTTTGGAAACCCAAATTTCTGTAGATGACACTTTGTATTTGAGAGGCTATTAAACAGATTTAACGAGCTGCATATCTGCAGCATCTTAATCTGTGCTTTAAATTTAATTATTCGCTTATGAACCAGGTCGGCGCTTAAAACTTGAATCTGTTTACTGACTTTTTAGAACCAAAATCGTTTTTAATTCTAATTTCCTGAAAAAAATGTTTTTTTTATAACCCTGTTTTAACCCTCTGTAACAAATAAGAATTTTAGCTTAGTTAGAACCCCAGGTTTTGGGATTTCCTTCAAACTGCGACTTGTGATTTTTCGAGGAGAATCCAGTGCTGAACGACTCCACTTCTAAACGCAGTAGCAGCTGTCAGCACAGGTCTCGCCTCGCTGGTGACGTGCTGTGGAATAAACACTCCAGCTGCGCACCGACACCCCGAGAAGGGTTCCACATCGGCTGGGAAACAGGATGCTTTCAGAGCTTAGGAATCTAGAATCTCGTTAGCGGGGTTAACGATCTGCTACAGAAAAACCGCTGAGTGGATCAGAATCTACTGTAAGGGATGTCAGCTATGAAAAAGACGGATGTGTGGAGGAGAAAATGCATCAAGCGCCGTGGCTCGATAATCTCAGCACACAAAAGCAGTGCAGACCTCCTCTGTGAGAAGCCGCAGACTAACTGGCGCGTTGCCCCTGATGTCATACACGTACACAGGAAACTAACAGAGGTCCCTCCCCTGCAGTAACTTATTTCTCCCAGGCCAAGCAACATGTTTACTCTTCCATAGAAATGTGGTTCTGTAACATGCATAATACAACAGCCAATCCACTCCTCGCTGCCAGGACTAGGGCGGAGCGGTGGCCCTGTGGCTCAGGATCTGCGCCTGTGGCTGGAAGGTTGCCAGTTTGTATCCCGCGGCCGGCAGAGGAATCCTACTCCGCTGGGCCCCCTGAGCAAGGCCCTTCACCCCAGCTGCTCCAGGGGTGCTGTATAAATGGCTGATCCTGTACTCTGACCCCCAGCTTCTCTCTCCCCGTCTGTGTGTCTCATGGAGAGCAAGCTGGGGTATGTGAAAAGACAAATTCCTAATACAAGAAATTGTATAGGGTTAATAAAGTGATCTGATCTTATCTAGCTACAAGAAAGCAGAGACGATCCTAATCTACAGCTGTTCCTAATAGCAAATATGCAAAAACGTTAAGTCAGTCTCAAACACAAGGAATCCAAGAAACTAGATCTGAGTTTTTTTAATAAAAGGCTGACCAGCCAACACTTCACAACGACCGTGTCATTCCCTCGACATACAGAGCAATGCTGCTGCACACAGGCTCAGTTCAGGAAAGGAAAGTCAGTTGGGCAATCTAACAAGGCCCTGTTCTTTTTCATCTGACATGCAATCATTGTTTAAACACTACCCGCAACATATTTCTGAATCTACAAGAAAAGCTTAGTAAGTATGAAACAAATACAGACAGTGTAACGTTATTGTTCCATTAGTTTTTCACAGGTGACACGAATGCAGAAGGTCAGTGAGGTGTGCTGGGCTGCGTTCCTGAGCAGGCAGGTCAGCACTCGGGCCCAGTCTGGCTACAGCAGAACCCACTTCACAAGTCCAGCCCTCTGAGAGTTTCTTCAAGCACACTGAAACCCACACTGATGAAAGTCTTTAAAGAAACCTTAAATGCTGATACACTGCTGCTGGCCTGTCAGCCCTGGATCAATAAACTTCTCCTGCATGTATGAACATGTATTAAGATACAGTGCATAGAAGTATATAGTTAGACTGGATTGTAAAGAGATCAAACCAGAATCATGAGCTCTTAATACCAAAAACTTCCCTACAGCACAAAAAGCAGAGGGCGCTACTGGGAGCTACCAGACTCCATGAGGCCCCCCCCCTGCTTCCCACTGTTTATACATGTGTGCCCCTTCAGACGGAGCTCAACCCTCTTGTCTCTGAGGATAGACTCTCCTGTCCCCTGCTCTGGCCACTGTCACGTCACCCCCACACGGGCCGGGACAGGCAGACAGGCCACGCTCACTGCAGTTAAATCTGCTTAAATGTACAACTGTAATAAAATAAGACCTTTCAAGTTTAGGCATGCTCATCTACTCATTTCCGAACAGCCTAGTAATTGTCACGTTCAGATTATGCCGATTCTGACAGAAATTGCAAAAATAAAAATTCTTTTTTTTTTTTTAAAACGATATGCAAACTGGTCAAAGGATTTTAAAGCACAATCGAATTATTTCCTAAATAAATACAAAAAAACCCTGCATATCAATGTCAATCGTGAGGCTGTAAAATAGAATTTCCATAAGAAAAATAATCTTCCGCAAAATGGCTATCAATAAATCCCCAAAGGCCGATCCGTCAGAGAGCCTCCCAGGAAACAGAGAAATGTTTCACTCTAAGAGAGGCAGCATGAAAAATGCCCCCCTTTCCTACATCTGCTACTTGACAAGTGTAGCTGGAAAGGGTTGAGAACGTCTCATCTAGTAAACCAGGACTTCTGTATTCCTGATCTTTAACATGCACGTCAAACTAGGTTAGTCCAGCATGGGCTCCTCAGCAGTATCCACGCTCCGAACTGCTACCCAATCCCCAGAATCGGGGTGCAGAGCACCCGGATTCAAGCCGTTCGAGAGCATGGCGACTGCAGGAGTGTATTCTGATCGATGCGGATGGCACGGGACCCCCGTGATCTCTTGGAACGGGGGAGGGGGGGGTCAGTAAGCGTTAACGCAGACGAGTCAGGGACAGGCGTTTGGTTCGTGTGGAGTCAACGGGTATGATGCTGCTCCTGATTAGAAAACACAAATCTGAACATGTGGGTTGCTGTTCTGCAGGAAAGCAAAAGAAGACCAGGCTTGTGCAACTTTTTCTACTATAAATAACCTTACCAAGGTCGTGTAGCTGTTGGTTTTCCTGTGCTTTTATGCATTCAGACATTATGTATTATGTTATGTGTTCCATATTTATTAATTCTGTATTTATCTAGTTGTTACTTTGCAGATGTCACCCTGCTCCACTGCACATGTCCGTGTGCTGCCCTGTTCTTGCCGTGCTTGCACCACAGGTCACGGGAGACGTGCCCAAGAGACAAGCTGAGCCCTTTCCCTGGCCGATGTTCCCACGGAAACGAGCATCAGGCTCAGAGAGGCCGGGACCTGCAGCATTCGGATTTCTCCGGTGCGTGTAAACATTCTGCCTTCGCTCATGTGACAAAGCAGGATTCAGCACAGGCTAGAGGCTCGAAGACAGAGAGGTGTGAAGAGAAACACAGAACTCTGTTGTGCAGTAAATAATTAATTGGCGAGTAGTGCAGTATCCCCTACTGCAATTAGTGCATGTCGTTATGGCTGATGAGGCAGAGCGAGATGGAGAAAGACCGAGCAACTGTATTAAAAGCGCAGTTTTCCCAATGCTGGTGTATGAGTGTGCATATTGAAAGTTCATGTGTACTGTTAAAGTCTTAATAAACCTGTGATTGTTTTTCTCTTTTTCCATTTTAAAACACGTGAAACACATCTACAGATGGTGTTCCATTAGCAGCAGGGCTGAGAGACAGAGAAACGGCCCCGTTTGCTGCGCATGATCAGAATGAGAAAAGGAAGCCAGCGTGGTCCTGTCCTGCACAGCTGTCAGCGCTACCCCCAGATCTCCCCTAGATCTCCACAGAGATCACCTCAGATCTCTCCCCCAGATCTCTGCAGAGATCACCTCAGATCTCTCCCCCAGATCTCCCCTCCAGACCTCTCACCTAGATCTCCGCAGAAATCCCCCCAGATCTCTCTCCCAGATCTCCCCCCCCCCATCACTCCCACAGATCTCCCCTCCAGATCTCTCCCCCTAGATCGCCCCTCCAGGTCAAAGCCACCAGACACACGGGGGACTGGGGGGCCGATGGGTCTCTCTGATCGTGATCGCACTGCCGCCGAGAGAAAGTCAAACAAGAGAAATAAGAAAATCCTACGGAAAACTGCAGCTCTATGGAAAGAAACAGAACAGCCACCAGGGGGCTCCTGAGTGGGGTGAAGCGCGGGAGAAGCAAGGCGAGACGAGGTCCTGCGATGAGCGGACATTGGGACCCCCCCCTCCCCCCAGAGCAACACGCCTCTCCGCAGAGCCACGAGACCGGGGGGGGTGGGGAGGTAGGGGGATTAGGCGAGAAGGGCGGCGGAGGAGGAGGAGAATGGAGGGGAAGAGCCTGCCCCCTACTGGGCGGCGTCGGTGACAGCGGCTGGGCGCTTCCCGGCCTGGCGCTGGTACAGCCGCAGGCCCTTCCGGCACAGCAGGACGAACCAGTAGACCTGCGGCGCCATGATGCAGAGGGTGCCCAGGTTGCAGGACAGCGGCAGGTGGAAGGGGGCGCTGTAGAGCGGGAGGCCGTAGTGCCGTCCGTAGACCCAGTACATGTAGGGGAAGAGCAGGATCCGGCACAGGAAGAAGCTCAGCAGCACCACCACACCGTTGACCTTGTGCAGCAGGCAGTCCTGGAGCCCCAGCTGCGGAGAGAGGGAAGAACCCTGTCCTTTAGCCCTCCTGGCCAGGAGGAAACCCCACCTGTCCAGAGGGCGCCCGGGCTGGGCCCCATCTGAGTTGGATGCTGCATCACTGCCATGGATCCAAGAGGGGCATCGTGGATATAGCTATCATTTAGGAGGATTTTGCTGGTCTACAGAGATCGCCATGGAGTACTGACATACAGAAGACATGGTGGATGGGTGGATTAATACCGCCATTCATTTATTTCCTTTTTTTGTATAATGTTAGCATGAGGGGTTGGGCAGCCACTTGACCTTGGACCCCTATAAGTTTTTCTCCTCCTTACTAAGGAGTTTTTGGTTCCTCTCCTCCATTGTCTCCTGGTCTTTTCTGTTCTGTATTCACAACATGTAGGGTCACTTGCTTTGTTGAGCACCTTGGGGCAACCTTGTTGTGACAGGTGCTATATAAAAATAAAGCAAACTGAATTGAAATTGATTTCCATGTTGTGTCTGTTCTCACAGAAGGCTACTTTCAGCCAAGGATTAGTGAAACTGGGCAGGTAAGTGCTACGATGCAGACACACTGCCCTCCATCACGCTGAATTAGAGCAGGGGTCTCCAGCCCCAACCCTGACAGCAGGTTTAATAGGCCACCATTAAATCACAGATTCGTCCAAGCCTGGCACAACTTCACAGCCATCACTTAAAACAGATAGTTTAGAGATTATTCAGATTATTCCATAATCTGAGAAGATTTACCTTCCAGCCCACAAGTAGCCATGCATTCTCCTAACGGGACACACTACTTGCTTTAATCATCAGATGATCCCAATCTTTAGGAACAGGTGGCCTATAAAACTAAGAGCTCTTCCAACTCAGGGCTGGATTACAGCTCTTTACTCTCAAAGTGAAACTCATCAGCAGAATATTTCAGAGTGGAAAAAGTGGAAACGTTTCCTAGAAAGCATGGAATTGTAATCCAGAACATACAGGCATCTTAATCTTTATCACTACAAATATCATACTAGGCAACAGGGATCTATGTAGTTCTATATTTTTTTCCCCAAAATGGAGGGATGATTATGAATAAACAATTTTAGTTCAACATTCCTATGAAATACTGACCGCTGTCAGCTCTCCAGGGCTACCATTAGGGGGCAGCACCATCCAAAAAATAACCAAGGGCCTCTGCTACAGTTACCACTCTCCTGTATGCTAGAAAACCAGAGGGTGGGGCAGGTTGTTTGGCCTAACGCCGACAATTCAGGACCTGGCTCTGCATTGTCCCTGACAGATCTGGGACCGGGCAGCTCAGCTCTCAGCATTTTTAAACCAATGCGCTTGGCGTTTTCCAGAGACCAACAATGAGACACTAACACACAAGCCGCATTTAAATCTCATTCATAAAGATAAGCTACGCAATTGTCAACTGCACCAAAACTTGCTGCCATACAAATATAGTGGGTTATAATTTCCATATTTCACAGGACAGGGACAGTTTTACATTTATGAAGGCAAGTACAATTCACTATATGCTGATCACAGGCAGAAGTACAGGCACTGTTCACTCCAAATGACTGACGTATCTTACTTATTGATCTATAAGTCCTTATATGTGGCTTCTCTTGAAGTTTTTTGAACATCAATTCATCCTATCGAGCATGTTGGGTCTCTGTCCCTGCATCAAGGGACTGTGTAAGATCACTCCCATCAGCCCCCTGGAGCCAGTAAAAGTCGATGCCCCGTCTGAGGGATGGAGGCACCGGTGTGAGATTAGCGAAAACAAAATAAACCATAAAAAGGGAGAAACCAAAAGCAAAAAGAATAATGCACCGCTTTGCACAGCGGCTTCCAGGCGGGACTGTCTAACGGGGTCCAGTGTGCAGCAAGAGGAGCACAAGAGCAAAAATCAAAAGAACTCAACCTGTCCCAGTGGAGTTACATGGCAGGACACGAGAAAAGAAAGAGAAAATAAAATGAAGAAAAAACAACAGCCTTCCGCTCACTCCACAGCCCCCTCCGGGACTGTCTCTGGAAGGTCCTCCCCTTGCGGGGTTCTGCTCGTCCCTCTGGGGAGGTGCTCAGTGTGTCTTAAAGGGCCCCACAGCTGTGGGTTGTCCTTAATCAGGCAGGACAGCTGTGGTTGCTAAGGCAACGTGTCGCCCTTTATCTAACACCCTCTCCGCATTATCAGCCAAACGCCTCTCATGCAACATCATCCCTTTCTCTCACCAAAAAGTGAAACGGGCCTGCGAGGATACTAAGTTTTAAAAACGGAGGGATGAATGATCACAGATCACACCAGACCGCGCAATGCTTCACACGGTTTTGAGTTTTTCTGCGTGTGGTGGACAGAGAAGACCTTCTCACCTGGATCAGAATCTTCCCCAGGGACACGAAGGGCGTGCTGAGCTCTGCTGTGAACAGGCATCCGACGAAGAAGTCTCCCAGGTCTCTCCGGAAGAACTGAGGAGGAGACACGAGCCAGGTTAGCTGCTGGATGAGCCTGAGCTCAGCGCAGGGGATGCCGAACTCCAAACCACCGGAGATGCCTCCGACTGGCATCAACATCTCAGACGTATTTAAAGATCACTGCCATTGTTACAACATCATCATCATCTACATGTAATGTACTTTCATATCACCAGAAGTCACACCTGTCCACAATATGTTTTTACAGTCTCACTGATGATGGAGTTTCTTAAGGACTCAGTGTGCCACTTCTTCCTGTGAGTCTGCGTCTGCATGCCCATTCCCAGGACATTAAAGTTTCCGTTCAGTGTCCAGCAGTGAGCTGTCCCAGCAGGCAGAGGTCCCTGGCGATCAGGGCCCTTTCCTGCTCTCGGTCACAAAACCTCGCTCGTCCTGCTGCAGACGGACACGAGAAACGAACAGGACAAGAGGGACAGAAGGAAGGTACTGCTGCACAGTGTGCAACGTGTCCGGGGTTTCGCTGAAAACAAGGGTTCAGGCCCAGCTGTGGGTTTGCTTTTATGAGAGCAAATCTTTGTGCATTTGATAGTTTGTGTGAAGCTTTTAGCAATGTTGCACAAAGGGCTGGAGAGCCAGGACAGGAAAAGAACAGCCCCCTCTCCCACACACACTCTCCCGTGGCTGGGTGAGGCCTACTGCTCCTGGCAGCCACCAAAAACACAAGGAGTGTCGCAGCGTGAGGGGCGGGGAGTGAGCAGGAGTGTCCCAGCGTGAGGGGCGGGGAGTGAGCAGGAGTG